GTACTAGCTAGAGCACAGGGGTTCTCTAGTCAGAACCAGGGGATCTAACCCAAGGTGAACAATGCTCTAATAATGCAGAACCACCCTGACTCTCCCTTTCTCCAGGGCCAGACCCTTCCCATTGGGAACAACCAGCCTTGACTCCCCATTCACCAAAACCCTAGGCCAAGACGCTGGGTGAAGGAGTCCCAAGACATGTGGCTCCTCAGAGCCTGGACAGAAAACAAAGCAGGGGGTCATGGTGCCTCCAGAGAGGTGTCTGACCTAGGGTGGGGGCGTTGTTGGAGACTTTGATGAGGTCCTAAAGGCTATATACATGGATGGACTCCCTACTTCCAGCCTACATACTTCTGGGTGACTTGGCAGATTCTTGGGGAGGACAAGGAGACCAGATGGACTGGGAGCACTAGCAGAAGCTGGCAGAATTGGGAAATGTGATCACCCAGTCAGAACAGTTGACAGCTGGGGTTGGGGGTACAGGCCGGTTGTATGTGTGTCAGAGGGTGTGTGTTTTTCTCCCAAATATCCACCTTCTATGTGACCCCAGTGCCCTCACCTCTCTAGTGGGCTCTTCTGGGAATGTCCTCAGGTGAAAGGGTGACTGAGCACAGAAGACAAGGGCTCACACAACAACGGTGTCTAATTTATGCATCCAACAACCCCTTCCCCAGCAAAAGGGAAAGGAACCGAGAAGGCAGGTGTGGAGGTGCAGCTCCCCACCTCTGACTAAAGCCACCAGGTTCCCACCAGGGAGAGGAATGGTGCAGATGCACAGCTGTGTGGCTCCCACTGCTTCAGGCCAGGGGCTCTGTGGTGCTCCCACCTCCCCATCCCTGCAGCTCCCCTTTTCCTGGAACACTGGCCACTAGGGATGAGGGTGGGATCCCCGGGTGGACACCCACCTCCACCTTCCACCCCTGGGGTGCATTTGTGGCAGAGCCAATACAGATTGTGGGGCATGGGGGAGGCACAGGCAGGAAGGGAGGGGGAGGCAAGAGGCAAGGGTCTGGGTCCGCGAGGGTGGGGAGGAAGGGTAGAGTGGGGGACAGAGTTTACAGGGGGGGTTGTGGGGTGCAGGAGCGAAGGTCGGCCACCCATGTGTGCTGCTGGGAGAAGCTGTAGGCTGCTACTCCGGGTGTGCGCCGGGAGTCTGAGGACTGAGGGCCTGTACCAAGTCATGGCCACAAGCAGGCCAGGGGTGCAACAGCTCTGCCAGGTAACTGCTAGAGGCTCCGCGGGTCTGAGCCAGCACCGCCATGTTTGAAACGCAGCACGGGCGCATGGTGGAGCTGCGCACAGCCTCTGCTCCTCCTCAGCCACCACCGCAGCCTCAGTGGTCTCCTAACCTGTGGCCACCGCTGCCTCAGCAGCCACTGCCTCTTCCGTGCTCCTTGTACCGGGACCTCAGACTCAGGGACACCATGGCTGGGCACCTCCGAGGGGCTGCATGTGGCGATGTGCCTGCTGTGTAGGCTCCGCATGCTCTGCGCTCCAGGTCAGGACCCACACTTTGATCGGATCAGCCGCCAGCCACTGAAGCTCGCTCTTCTCCCAGCTCTCTCTGGGCCCCACAATCCTTTCTTGGGCCACCCGCCACTGCTACACACACACCCCTGCCCCCTTTGGCTCCTGGCCATAGCTGCCACCAAAGTATGCCCCTAGGTCCTGCCCCCTCCTCCCTAGGGCTCCACCCCACACCCCTGGCCACAATTGCAGCCCTGACTGGGCCCTGAAGCTTCTAGACCATGGCAATTGCAGCCTTACCTCAGCTCAGCACTATCCCCCACCTCCAGTACCGGCCCAGAGGATTGAATCTCCCCTTAGCCCCACCAATGGAGGAGACTCTCCTCCATCACCCTCCACTCTACACACCAAGCAGGTGCATGGTGACACTGGTATGTGTATGTTTGTGTTTGTGTGTCTGTGTGTGTGTGTGAGTGTTGGGGATTACCACCTCTCAAGGACTCAGAACATAGCACCCTTTGGGATGAATCAGCATACAGCACACTTCCAAAATCAGCACAAAGCTCCCTGTGTAAATGACTCAGCACACAGCTCCCTTTGAAGGACTCAGCATGTAGCATGGTGGGTAGAGTACTCAGAACACAGCACCCTTTGAAGGAGGGGGTCTATAGCCCACAGTGTAAAGGACTCAGTGCATGGCATGCTTTGAAACACTCAGCACATAGCACTCTTTCCGAGGGACTCATCACACTCTGTGTTGAAGCACGCTGTGTAAAACACCCAGTGCATAGCTTCCTTCGATAAACTCAGCACACAGAACAATTTTGATGGACTCAGCACACACCACACTGTGGAAGCACTCAGCACACAGCACCATTTGAAGGACAGTACAGAGCACCCTATGGAAAGGACTTGGCACACAGCATTCAAAAAACACCTCACCCCTCTCTTCTCAAGGGCTCACACATAGCAGGACCCTTTAGGATGCATTAGCACACCATACCTTTTGAAGGACTCAGCATACAATAAGTTATGTAATGGACTCAGCACAAAGCCCCCTTTAAAAAACCCAGGATGGCCCACTCTTCTCAGGGACTCAGCACATAGCACCCTTTGGGATGACTCAGCAAACAGCACCTTTTTGAGGACTCAGCACATAACTCCCATGAGGGAAGGACCCAGTAAATAGCACCCTGTGAAGGACTCAGCACATAGCTGTGTGTCACAAGTTCAGCTGTCATTAGAATTAGGGTGCTTTCTTCAGTATCACCATTCTTCAGAAACACTTCACAAATCCTACTAGTTCACATTTAGAAAACCTGTGTTTTATGGGGGAAGTCAGCTGGGGGTCTTGAACTCAAAGCTTGGGGGCCCTGTCTCTGAGCTCTTTGGTTCAATGCTAGAGCTCTACCACATGGAGGCACAGCTCCAATTTTGTTTTTTTGGGTTGTTCTTTAACAGGTCTTATGGTGATAAGTAAGGCCAACTTGGGGTATCTGTGGGCAAAGGCTCTTAACTCAGCCTGTGGCTGACCTCTCCCTTCCCTGTGTCCCTGGAAAGCTGGGCCTCCTGGAGCTCTCTTGGCCTAGGGTGGAACAGACCTGCTCTGGCATCAGCAATCAGGGTGAGCAAAAGTCAGCTTTTCCCTAGTAACTTGCCTAAATTGAACTCTAGAGGATAATGGCATGGGACCGCATGTTCCACATGTGGCCACCAGAGGGCAGGAGTGGCCCACCATAGGGATTGTATTTGTGAGTTGTGTTTACTCTTGTTTCCCTGGGGCCCCATTCATGATTCAAAGCCACCCTGGACAGGAAAGTCCTTGAGACTCTTCGTACCTACAATTAACCATCGAAAAGCAAGTGAGGCTGTGACTCAAGTGTCACAGCACTAGTTTTGAGCAAGAAAACTCAGGGATAGAGGCTAGTTCCTGAGTTCACATACACACACACACAAACACAAACACACACACCACATGCATGCAAAATCAGAGATTTCTACACTGCAGTCTTTGGGTATTCTCTACTTTTTCCTCCACTAAGCCTGGTGGCTGATGGCCCAGGTGTTTGGTGCATACAACATCACCTGGCATCTTCAATTTTGGGGGAATAGAATGGCTAGTAGGTCAACCTTCCCCCATCCCAGCTCCTTGATGGGGTCATGGTCTATCCAGGCCCTTTGGAGCTTCTTTACAGACTCACCAAGATGCCTTCAAGAGGTGGCTCATGCCTGTCATCCTAACTACTCAGGAAGCTGAGATCTGGAGGATCACGGTGCCAAGCCAGTCTGGGCAGGACAGTGTATGAGAGTCTTATCGATGAACCATCAGAAAACAAAAGTGGCATTGTGGCTCAAGTGGTAGAGTGCCAACCTTGAGAAAAAGAGCTCAGGGACAGCGCTCACGGCCAACAACAACACGGAGAGGCATTTCATGTTGTCTTTGGGATTGGCATGGGCCAAATATAATTGGAATTAATTATAATTGGAACTAATCAAGTCCTCCAAGACAAAGCAGTACCTCCTTTAGTCCTGTGCTCCTCCATCTTGTCTCACCCCCTGGCCTTGTCCATGCTTTGGGTCAGCATGGATCTGGCTGGACGGGAGGGCTCCAAGGAAGATCGCAGAGCAATCACCCCACATCCTTCTGCCCTGCTCACCATGCTGCTTGTGCTCTTTGCCATAGACCTTCTTCCTGGGATCCATCCATGAGGACATCACCACCAACATAGTGGTGAATGGTGGGTCTGGCCTAACTAGGGGCAGTCAGAGGTAGAAGTAGGTCGGCGACTAGGAGCTTCCACTTTGGGTGTGGGCTGAGGTTTGGGCTGACCCTTATTTCATCCTGAGCCTTGCAGTGGTGGGGAGACAGTGTAGACTTCACATTGAGTCAGGTAAGATCACAATCTGGAGGACCACTTGTGTGGGGAAGGATGTGGGACTCAGGGGGCCACCGTTGTTGGTACTCTCTTGGGACTCCCCTCTCCCTCTCTCATCCCTTAATGGTAGAAGAGAAACTTCAACTCAGGATGTGGGAAGAGGGGGTGGGGGAATATTTTGGGAGGAACCAGACTTGTGCTTCATATTCATCCTAGCCCCTACTTACTATTTATCTGAGGAATGGCCATACGGGTTGGGAGGGGGAAAAAATCATCCTACCTGAGAATGTGGCTCAGTGGTAGAGTGTTCGCCTAGCATGCCTGAAGCCCTGGGTTCTATTCCACAGAAAAAGCTGGAAGGGGAGGTGGGGACAGCCTTGATCAAAAAGAGCTAAAGGACAGTGGCCAGGCCCTGAGTTCAAGCCCCAGGGCTGGAAGAACAAATCTGTGTTTTAGGCTTTTTGTTGTTGTTGTTGTTTGCTTGAAAACAATTTATTCTTTGTGATAAGCAAAACATAGGCTTCTTTCCTGGCCACCAATGGGCCATTAGATGTCCCTTGAGTTTGGGCCAACTCCCTTCAGCCTTTGCCCCACCCTACCCCCAGTTTAAGCTTCACATTGCCCGGCAGATGGAGGCCTGAGAGAAAGCCACTTGGTCAACTACTTCTGGTGGCTGCCAAGGCTTTTGAGAGTCAGTATGTCACATAGAGAGTCATCATCCACATCAATCTACAGGAGAAAGTGAGAGAGCACTCCTCCCCTGAGCCTGGGAGCTGTGGGCAGATCTGGATGTGGGGCATCTGGGGCAGGACATACTCCTTGAAGGAGTCCACTACGGGGTCAGGAACCCTGACCTCTCCTCTGGCAGTCTCCATGCTGTCTTCAAGTTGCTTCTGAAGCAGTGTTGGGGAGGAGGGTGGGAGGCTCAGCCTGTGCTGGCATCTGGAGACTGCTGTCTGTGCCTTCCCTTGCGAGGACTGACAGCAGCTCCCACAGCATCTCCTCTTCTTGATCTTCTCCTGGTACAGCCAGTGCATGCACTGGGCTTTCTCCCAACACAGCTCATTCAGGACCAACATCTGCTCTTTACACACCATGAGGGACTCCTTGGTAGTTCGGATGTGTGCTGACAGCTGGCTGCATCAATGGTGGAGCTCACCTGCTGGACTCTGGAAGTCCACCTCATCAGGCAGGTCATGGACGAAGCAGATTTTCTTCTCAGATGCTCATGACCAATTTCCCAATCCCATGCATGCTGTGGTGGCAGCTCATGGGGTTGAGGGACTGTGGCTCCAGCTCAGTCTGGCACTGAGCTGCTGGGTTGGCCAGGGAGTGCCTGCAGCTGGCCTACCATTCTTGTGTCAGGAGTGTCCCCCTGTGGATCTCACCCTCCAAGAGCACTCTCAGAGCCATGTCAGTCTTGGTCTGGGGGACATCTCCATCCTCTGTGATCATCACATGGGGGGGGGGAATTCACCTCCTTACATTTTGCTTCTCCAGGGCTCATGCCTTCCCCTTCCCAGGGTAAGCCAGGAAGCTCAGCTGGGCCTGCAGGCACTCCTCCTGTGATCTGGTGTCTTCCAGGCACTTGAGAGTGTCCTGCCACTTCGGGGACATCACCTGGTCCCTCCAGTTTGTTGAGCCCTTCACTTGCTTCAGCTGCTCCAGCAGCTGGGTCTGCCTCTCTAAGTGCTGCTGCAGGGCCTCCTTCTCAGAGCACAGCTGCTCATTGGAGGAGATGTGCCATTCACAGGAGGCTCTGAACTCCTGCACTGGCCCAGGGACTGCTCCTGCTGCTCCTGAGCTGCTTGGCTCTCTCTCTCAGCCACCACTATCCATTTCTCTATCTTCTTCTCTGAGCAGTCCTACTGTTCCCACAGATGTTTCTTCATCTGCAGCTCTGAGTCCAGGATGCTGGCGAGCTCCTCCTTCTCACTGCTCACCCTGTGGAGAGCATCCCACAGCAGGGCGAGCTTTTCCTCCGGTTGTCCATCCCACACACATGCTCATCGTGGGGTCTCAGGGATCTCCTGCTGATCCTAGGCTTTCTCCTCCAGTCTCTGCAGTTGCTCCTGCTGCTCCACGTTCTGAAGACGGAGACTGGTTTTCCTGGACCTGGATGTGAAGTTGTTCCTCCAGGTATTTCAACTCCATCTTCAGTACCTCATGCCCTCCAGTGCTTATTGGAACTTGCATATTTTATTCTTCATGTTGCTCCCCTGTATCTACAGCACTTCCACCTTCTCCTGCAACTATGTGTTCACTTGCTCCAGGTCATCAAAGTTTCTGGTCTTTTCCTCGAGCTGAAGTGTCACATCATTCAGCTGTTTGAAGAACATTTTGGTCTCCTTTGCAGCAGTAACTGCAGAAGCCGCTATCTTCAGCCCTGCCACACGCCACTCTGTAGCGTGCAGGCAGCTGGTGACAGCTTCATGTTCCCTTTCTCTGTCATCAGTGGCCTGCTGCACTTGGGCCAGTGCGCATTATAAATCGCTTTGTGCTGAAGCCAACCACTGTATGGGTCCCTTGTGGATCTCTACCTCCATTTTTGGTGCTGCATACTATCTTCTCCCTCTCTTACTCCCATTGACCCTGCATGTCTGTCTTTCCCTGCTTCAGTGGTTGGATCTTGGCAATGAGTGCTTGGTTTCTTCTTTTATGTGGTCCATGGTGGGCACCACATGTGGGTAGCACCTCTGTAGATCCTTGGTGGTATTGGGACCTTAACAATCTGGACCCTGGTGGCTGTGACTGTGTCCAAAAGCAAGGTAGGCCCATGGTCGGCATCACTTTTGGCCGGACTCTCCATTCAATCCGCCTCCCCAGAGATGTTTGTCTTGGGGATCCGTCGCTTTTTCGTGTTCTTTGTTTTCCTGAATGTTTCAGGTCTGTCGGGAGGATACTGCTGGCATTCTTGTGGCAGTTTCTTGCCCACAGTTCTCTCTTTGATTCTTATTGTTTCAGACATCTGAGCAATGGGATGGGAAAGTTGGGCTGTCCATATTCCCAGGCTCTAGGAAATCCTCTATTCTCCCACTCACCGACTAGGACATCATTTCCTACTCTACCTCAAAGTCACCTGGAGTCTCTTGCTCACCACTCAGCCACCTCTACCTTCCTCAAATGCTGGTAGTGGTGTCAACCAACAGAGGGAATCCAGGTGTAACTGGGAAGCATGGAATGTGGGTGTGGTCACTATTCTTGTATCCCATTGATCAAAAAGAACCATGAAAGAATGGGGGTGTGCCTGGATTCTGAGATGCAGACAGAATGGACAGAGTCAAGATGACAGCAGCCCCTTTACCATGAAGGTCTGTCCAATCCAGTTGGGGACAAGAGGGAGACCTGCTTTAGCCAGATGGCTGCACAGATTGTTGTGTATGTCTGCTTGTTGCCAGTCCTGGACCTTGAACTCAGAATCTGGGCACAGGCCATGAGCTGATCTTGCTCACGATTAGCCCTCTACCACTGGAGCCACACAGCTCTACTTTTGCTTTGTTGGCATTGAGGTTGGACAGGTGTCTCAAGGACTTTACTTCCTAGGGTGACTTTGACCATGATCCTCCTATCACAGCCTTGTAACTATCAAGGAGGACTGGTGAGAGTCACTGGTGCCTGGCTAATCATTGTTCGGGATTATGGCTTCCCCAGTAGCCTGCAAGCCTTCAGCAATGCAAGGTGAAGTATCCTTTGGAGCCGGATATCTCAGACTCAGATGGCCATAGTGCAAAGGAAGAAAATGTAAAAACGCCACCTGTCACTTTTTTTCTGTGCATTCCCCCGCCCCCTTGCACAAAGCCTGAAGTTCTAGGATCCCAGGATAGGCTGTGTTTTCAGTGGCTGCACCCCAGCTTATGGTGATGAAAGCTGAGGCAAGGTTGCCATGACCTAAGTTCGAGACCGTGCTTGGCAAAAAAAGCAAAAAAAAAAACTCCCTAGCTTGCAGTTAATGCAGTTTTTTCTACCTTTGAATTTGAACTTAAGACCTGGGTAACTCTGAAGCACGGTGGATGAAGGGGAAGCTCACCATGCTTGAAGACAAGAAAGTAAGGCCTGGTCCCTAGGCCTGAATTTAAGTCCCAGCTCTGGAAACATTCTATTTATATACATTGTAAAGGTATGATTTGTACTTCTGTATAAATGTTCAGTCCATGTCCTGTTTATTGTGGTTATTTATAGTATTTTTGTTTTATTCATTTATTTTCCATTTTTTTATTGTGACAATATTGTACAAAGGGGTTACAATTACATGGGCAAGATAATGAGTACATTTCTTATCAAGTATTATAGCCTCCTCCTTTCTTTCCCCTTCCCATCCTTCCCTTAGCCCCCACCCAATCCTCCCCACTCCCCCCTGCCACACCGCACCAAAGTTGTAAAGTTCGTTTTTGAAATAATGACTTGTACATCTCATTGATGCAATGGGTCCACCTCTATCCCTATTTAAATGAATTGTTTTTCCCCTTCCCCTCCACAAATTATACCAACATCAAATACAGTGAAAGCAGGGGTTATACTGTGGGGGAGGGTCATTCAAATCCACAAACAAATAATCTTATAAAAGTGTTAGAAACAATCACAAGAAAGAAAGAAAAATCATTTGAGCACATATCTTAGGGTTCATTTCCCTAACATCACCTTATCTGACCTTTTCTGCTTGACTCAGACATATACTAGATATTGCAAATAAGGGAAACCATGGGACCTATGTTTCTTTGGACCTGGCTTACTTCACTTAATATAATTTTTTCCAAGTTTTTCCATTTCCTAACAAATGGGGCAATGTCATTCTTTCTGATAGAGGCATAGAATTTCATTGTGTATATATACCACATTTTCTTGATCCATTCATCTACTGAGGAGCATCTGGGTTGGTTCCATATCTTAGCTATAGTAAATACTGCTACAATAAACATAGTCGTGCTGGGAGCTTTAGTGTGGTCTTGTTTGTAAACATTTGGGTAAATGCCCAAAAATGGGATTGCTGAGTCATAGGGGAGCTTTATGTGGAGTCTTTTGAGGAACCTCCATACTACTTTCCAAAGTTGTTGAACAAGTTTATACTCCTACCAACAATGCAGTAAGGTTTCCTTCTGTCCACATCCCCTCCAGCATCTGTTGTTATTAGAGTTCGTGATTATAGCCATTCTAACTGGGGTGAGGTGATATCTCAATGTTGTTTTGATTTGCATTTCTTCTATGGCTAGGGAGGTTGAGCATTGCTTCATTTGTCTATTGGCCATCCTTCTTTACTCTTCAGAGAAGTTTCTCTTTAAGTCTTTTTCCCACTTATTTATTGGGCAATTGTTTCTTTGAGGATATGTTGTTGGGGGATTTAATTTTTTGAGTTCCAAGTATATTTTAGATATGAGATTTTTTATTGACTGTGATGACACACATTCCACTTACAATATTGATGACAACCCATCACATAGAATCTAGATTTGTCGATGTGTTCTTCATCATGTGTGACACACAGGACTCTCAGAGAAAAGGAAAATAGATATCACACTCAGTTTCTTACTCCATGATCCAATTGTTGGCAGTGCTGGGATCTGAATTCAGGGCCTGGCAGACCCAATTCAGACCCTGAATGGTTGTGTAAACACGGCATCCTCTAGCCAATGAAGCTTCCAGGGCATTTCCAGACCGTGAGATTGAGCTGCAGGGGTGGACAAAATAGGCATACATGGATAGACAGGTGGTAGAACACCAATAAATATATATCTGTACAGAGTGCCAGAGACATCTACCTAGGATTCAATGACATCAACTACATTCCTACTAACTCTTAGGTCTTTATTATGCCACCATTGAAGGAATAGTATTCTTTTCATGCTTAATAAACCATTCATTAAGATGAATCATGGTCCTAGGATCATGGCATCTAATTTTGGACTAGACCAATACACACAGAAACTTCTCATTTAATCATGAGTTTGCTAACATTTCATTGTTATTCCCATGCATAGGAAGAAGTATCTTGGGACCTCCTCCCATTGGTAGGTGTCAGGACCAGGATTCAAGCTCAGGGACTATTTTGCCATATGGGCCTATGGCTTCCCTGATAGCCCGTTAGCCTTCACCAATGCAAGGTGAAGTACCCTTTACAGCCGTGTAAAACAGACCCAGGGTGGTCACCATGCAAAAGAAAATATAAAAAAAATCCATCCTGCGACATTTTTTCTGTTATTTTTCTGTCATTTTTCTGATATTATTTCCTGCAAATTTTCAGAGCCTAAGATCCCAGGATCGGCTACGGGCCCATGGGAGCTTGCCAGTCTGCAGTGATCGAAGCTGAGGCAGAGTTGTCAGGAACTGAGTTCAAATCCAATGCTTGGCAATATTAATAATAATACTAATATTAACACACCCTGGCTCAGAATTCTCACCATTTTTCTGCCACTTCTGAGATTCCAACTCAGGTCTGGGTAACTTTGTTGAACTGTGGGCGAAGGTGAAGCTCACCATCCTTGAAACTACAAGGTCAGGCCTAGACCCAGGGCCTGAACTGAAACCCCAGCACTGGCAAAAATCATATGGTCACCTACTTTACACATAGGATCTCTCTTTACATAGAGATGTGGAATGCATCATGCATTCAGTGTAGTTATTCTTTTTATTGTGTGTCTTAGTCATGGATGCATTTTGTATTTTATTACATATGATGACAGCTATAACTGTGTTGACATGGATGGCAACTGATTCCCATGAATATAGAGTTGCCTATATAGCATACTGCATCCTAGCTGACACCCAGGACTTTCACAGGACAGAGAAACAGAACGATTGGCTTCTCACATCAGAATTCATCTTTTGGCAGTGCTGGGATCTGACACGGGGACTGGCAGGCCCAATAGGCGAATGGGTCCAGGTAAGCACATCAGCCTGTGAGCCACTAAGGAGCTAGGTCGTTCCCAGGACCTGAGATTGAGCCCCGCGGG